GAGCTGGCAGTTCCAGGTGGAGTCCAGGGCTGGGGTAAGAACTTGTGGTGTTTTCTGGGCTGCCCATGGATACCCATGGACCAAGCAGCATGCACTTCCTCCCTTCTGAGCCCATAAAAACCCCTGGACTCAGCCAGACTCAGCCGACTGTCAGGACTACCAGCTGTGGGAAGGAGCTACCCACTTCGGTCTCCTTAAAAGGACCTGCCTGCAGGTCTCCTCTTGGGTGAGAGCTGGTCATCTGGACACTCATCAGGTCGACCTGCCTGTGGAAAGGAGCTATCCACTTTGGGACTCCTGAGAGCTGTTCTGTTGCTCAGTGAAGCTCCTTTCCGCCTTGCTCACTCTCCAGTTGTCTGCGTACCTCATTCTTCTGGGATGCAGGAAAAGAACTCGGGCCCCACTGAAGGGTGGACCGAAAGAGCTGTAACACAAGCAGGGCTCAAACACGCCCCCTGCTCACCACGTTGGGGGCGACAAGAAGGAGAAGAGCTGCAGCCCTTCTGGCAGCCCAGACCTCGAGGCTCCCTGAGCCAGGGCTGTGACATGCTGTAACACCCTCTTTGGGGCTCTGCAGTTCCTTGCATCTCTGAGCTTTCGGGCACCACTGCATTCCCCTTGTCCAGATGCTGGTGCCCGCAGTGGAAGCTGCTTTTGGTACATCTGGTCTCGCTGCAGCCTCGCATGGAGCTGGTGCCTGTGCCAGCGCTGAGAGCTGTCCACCCCACTGCAGCCAGTGTGCCTGGTTGTGTGCAGTGGCAGGACCCCACGCTCACTCACTCACACACCCATCACTCCGTGCCTGGCTCACCCTTGGCAGACATGGGATCCAGGCCGGTACCACCAGTGGAGCACAGCCTGCCAGGCCACATGGGTGGAATGAGCCCAACAGGCACAAGCAAAATCCAAGCAGAGGTGCCACCGGCCAGGAAGTTTCTGGATCCTGTGAGATAACTAAAGTCATGTCCTTTACATAACATTTATTCTATATAGAATGTATCCACATACAATGATGTCAGCTTTAAAACAATCACTTGTATAAAATCATCTATAAAATAGAGTGATACATAATACACCTCAGTGAATTACGCTGATGGTCTAGGATTCAGAAAATGTGATTATTCTATTTTCTATTTTTTTGGCCACCATTTCACTGGGTTGTCTTAGGTTCCTTTTTTTTTTTTTTTTTTTTTTTTAATGGAATCTCGCTCTGCCACCCAGCCTGGAGTGCAGTGCCGTGATCTTGGCTCACTGCAACCTCCGCCTCCTGAGTTCAAGCAATTCTCCTGTCTCAGTCCCCAGAGTAGCTGGGATTACAGATGCCCGCCGCCATGCCTGGCTAATTTTTGTATTTTTAGTAGAGAAGGGGTTTCACAATATTGCCCAGGCTGGTCTCCAACTCTTGACCTAAAGTGATCCACCTGCCTCGGCCTCCCAAAGTGCTGGGATTACAGGTGTGAGCCACCGTGCCTGACCTTTAGGTTTTTTTACTGTTCTGTGCCTCAATTTATTTACCTTTCATGTGGGATAACTGTCCTATTTCACAGATATGTAAAGAATAACATAAAATTATTAAACACTTTGCAAATATAAAATGCTATATAAACGATAAATAGTAATACTGATACACTCATATAAAATAACATAAAACTTTGTTTATAATCTAAAGTTTGGTCCTCCTGTACCTATTTTTCTTTTCTTTTTTTTTTTTTTTGAGTCAGAGTCTTGCTCTGTTGCCCAGACTGGAGTGCAGTGGCATGATCTTGGCTCACTGCAACCTCTGCCTCCTGGGTTTAAGCAATTCTCCTGCCTCAGTCTCTGGAGTAGCTGGGATTACAGGTGCACGCCACCATATCCGGCTGATTTTTTTTTTTTTTTTTTTTTTTGTATTTTTAGTAGAGATGGGGTTTCACCATGTTGGCCAGGCTGGTCTCTAACTCCTGACCTCATGATCCGCCCACCTCGGCCTCCCAAAGTGCTGGGATTACAGGCATGAGCCACCGCGCCCCGCCTCCTGTACCTATTATTATCGCCCTTCCCAGTTAAACACATCTTATGCTACACTGCTTTTAGTGATTTTCCATACTTATTTAATTTTAGGACTAAAAAAATTTTTTGAAAACCAATATGAGTGGAAATTTCAATAAATCTTGGCATGACCTGGCAAAATAACTTAATAATTGAGTTCTGAGCTCATAAATAATTGAAGCACCAAACTTCTTTCATCCATTAGTCAGTACTTAGCCATATAGAAAACAGTAACTATGCTTATTTTGATTGCATTACTGAAAATATAATATTGGAAAATTTGGCCGGGCGCGGTGGCTCAAGCCTGTAATCCCAGCACTTTGGGAGGCCGAGACGGGCGGATCACGAGGTCAGGAGATCGAGACCATCCTGGCTAACACGGTGAAACCCCGTCTCTACTAAAAAATACAAAAAACTAGCCGGGCGAGGTGGCGGGCGCCTGTAGTCCCAGCTACTCGGGAGGCTGAGACAGGAGAATGGCGTAAACCCGGGAGGCGGAGCTTGCAGTGAGCCGAGATCGCAGCCACTGCACTCCAGCCTGGGTGACAGAGCCAGACTCCGTCTCAAAAAAAAAAAAAAAAAAAAAATTGAAAAATTTGTTCCTAAATTTTAAAAAGTCTTAAGATCTGATACCCATAGAAGGAACATCATGTGCTAAGGATGTGATTTGCTTCACTAAGAGACCATATGGTTACCTGCTTATAAGCACAGTGAGTAATAGGAGTTACGAAATGAGGCTGCAGCGCTCAAAGGGAATTCAAGAAGTTGTCTAATTCCATGGTTTTCAACGTTGTGCACCTGAGTTCTGCAGAGGTGTCTGGGGAAAGGTTTGTGGGGGGCTTTAACCAGAGCAGCTCTGATTTTAGAGTTCATCCCTTAAATTTGAGCATCTCTAGGAAATAATTCATTTGAAGAGTTTCTCAGGTTAAAAAATTACTTTAAACTGCAGATCTAGTCCATTTTGTTTCTTCCAGACACTAGGCATGACTGCAGTGGTGCTTTCTTTTTGTAATGCTTCATCCTATACCCAGACACTCTTGAGAGTAATGGAGTTAGAAGGGCATTCAGAAGTTGATAAATGGCATTCCTGCAAGAGCAAACTTTGGTCTAACCAAGTCTTGATATTAAAAAAAAAAAATCCTTGGCATAAATAAAGCTTATTTAAACAGATTATACCCCTATGTAACATTTGCCCACATGTAAAAACCAAAGAATTCAATTTTCTCAAATCATCAATAGACAGTTTCACTGTAGAAAATAACCGGTCTCTAATGTCTTAGATATATATGATATGATAACTGGAGGCATTATTTACAACTTACAGACATGTCTTAAATGTTCTTTTATGATGTTAAAATGATACAACAGATTTGTCTAGTTTGGTGACCTCGATCGTTGTTTTGTGGGGATCGTTTGATGCTTGTTATAAACAATTATGAGAAAGCATTATTTCTGAAAAGGCAATAACAAGTGCTGGTGGCAGTGTGTTCAGTGAATGTTGCTGATATTCATGCTGATGTATGTAAAGTTTGCATGCAGAAGATAATAGCATAAAAGGACATTTAGATCATAGACTAAATAAAGTGCATTAGAGTATACACATGCAAGCACTACTTCATTGATATGAATGAAGTTCAAATCAGCCATTTTTCCTATTGGCTCCAACAACTAAAGAATCAGGTTTTAATTTCAAAAGGTGTCAGTATTACTCTGGTAAGACTAGAGAATGACAAGCATTTCCTTCCTCATTCAGATACACTTTAATTGTTAAGAACCCTGATTTAGGCTGGGCATGGTGGCTCACGCCTGTAATCCCAGCACTTTGGGAGGCTGGGGCGGGGGCGGGGATCACGAGGTCAGGAGTTCGAGACCAGCCTGGCCAACATAGTGAAACCCCATCTCTACTAAAAATACAAAAATTAGCCTGACATGGTGGCACGTGCCTGTAGTTCCAGCTACTCAGGAGGCTGAGGCAGGAGAATCATTTGAACCCGGGAGGCGGAGGTTGAGGTGAGCTGAGATCACGCCATTGCACTCCAGCTTGGGCAACAGAGCGAGACTCCGTCTCAAAAAAAAAACAGAATCCTGATTTAGGAACAGCCATGTTGGGAGAACAGAGAACTCAATGCCTATCATCCAGTCTTGAAGCAACTGGAAATGTGCCATCAAGGGAATCTTGAAAAAGTCTCAGTTAAGTACCATGAAACAAATGGTTATTCATCTATTTTTAAAATTTTTAAAAGAAAGTAACCAATTTAGCCTAGAAATCGGTATCAAGGACAATAATTAATGAAAGAACAAGAGAAGATAATAACATAAAAAGTATCATTTTGAGGTATGTCATTTAAAAATGGCATTTAAAAATACAGTAAAATAGACGGTACCTCTCCATATACAATGAAATTCTATCAAGCTCCACTGTGATAACTTGCAGAAGAGACCTTTATGAAGTTCAGCTCTTTACTTCAGATATTTAGATTTTACCTTTAGAACTAAAACAATGCTTCTCTAATTTAGCTGTAATTTTGGAATGTTTCATAATTCAGGCAGGGGAGAAGTTTTTTGGTTTTTTAATTTTTTGTTTTTTGTTTTTTGTGACAGAGTTTCACGCTTGCTGCCCAGGCTGGAGTGCAATGGCACAATCTCAGTCCACTGCAACCTCTGCCTCCTGGGTTCAAGTGATTCTCCTGCCTCAGCCTTCCGAGTAGCTGGGATTACAGGCATGCACCACCACGTCGGGCTAATTCTGTATTTTTAGTAGAGATGGGGTTTCTCCATGTTGGTCAGCCTGGTCTCGAACTCCTGACCTCAGGAGATCCACCCGCCTCAGCCTCCCAAAGTGCTGGGATTACAGGTGTGAGCCACCGTGCCCAGCCCAAAGGGGAGAAGTTTAAACTTTGTATATTAGGAGAAAATTTGTCTTGAAAATATATAAACAAGAGAAGCAAAAATGTTCAATGTACTTAAGTGAATAATTTGTTCAAATAGTTTTATACTTTATATTTACATATAAATAACTTGACATAAAAACATACCAATAGGTACTGTAGGGACATTACTTAGCACTATTTGAAAATCTCTAGATCAAGATATTATATGTTGTTGAAAATGATTCAATTCCTCCTTTCATACTTTCTAATTCTGATTGGCTTATTTTTATAATTACTGCCAACTGGTGAGGTTTGACTTCTATTCTTTGCCATTTCAGGAGACATACAGGGAGAGAATGTTGAAAGAGGATTGTTTAAAATCAGACCCTGTCCAGTCATCAGCTTTCTCTCTCAAACTTTCTGACCTTAATTTCCTCATTTGTAAATCGGAGATAGTATCCACCTCACTGATTGAGAAAATATGTGAGAGAGTACTGTATAAATAATATAGCACTACATAATATTAGAAATCACTCAAATATGGTAAGAACCTCCTAGTTTATTTTCCTTTTTTTTTTTGGGGGGGGGGTTTCTCTCTTGTTGCCCAGGCTGGAGTGCAATGGTATGATCTTGGCTCACTGCAACCTCTGCCTCCCAGGTTCAAGTAATTCTCCTGCCTCAGCCTCCCGAGTAGCTGAGATTATAGGCATGCGCCACCATGCCCGGCTAATTTTATATTTTTTAGTAGAGATGAGGTTTCACCATGTTGGCCAGGCTGGTTTTAAACTCCTGACCTCAAGTGATACGCCTGCGTTGGCCTCTCAAAGTATTGGGATTATAGGCGTGAGCCACCGCGCCTGGCCTGTTTTTCTTTAGAGAGATGGATAACCATATTGACAGATCGTCTTCACAAACTGCCTTGACTTTTAGGCAACATTAGTTTCCTGCTTTAAGAAAATATCTGCATTTAATCTTTGGTCAGCCTCTACTTTCATTTTTTTTATTGTTTGTTTTGTTTTTAACAATACTGAGAGTAATTTTAACCTAATGATAAAAATGTCAAATATGAATGATTTCAAACATTTTAGTCTTCTTCCATAATCCTTAAACGTTCAGGATATCAGAGTAATGACAGATTGTTTCAGATCTCAAATTAATACAAAGACTAATTTGTCTAGTCAGGTGGGTTGCCAGATCTTTAAATGTGCTCTTAACTGGTTTCCTGTGAAATTAAACATTGGTTGTATATGTGTTTTTGAAACACCTTGAAATTGTCTTACATAAAGTTTGGATGTGGTGAATTTATTTAAAGTATTTTCTTTGAAAAAAGTTTGCTAAGTAGATCTTCCAATATTAAAAGAAAAAGGGTATCTCTGTAATAAAGAGGATTGTAATGAAAGTAAGAGGATAATTGTTCATCCATCATGCCAACTCAAGCTAGTTCTTTCTTTCCAGTGCAGCAACACATTTTAGGGCAACAAAGTTCAGAATAGATACAATGGCCTGTTCAGAAAGCATGCAAGTTATATCAGATCATTTCTTTAAAGTCAGTATGATAAATTTGTTAACTAGACTCTGACCACAGAAAGAGAGAGATACAGGAAGTCAATGTAAATTGCAGACATGCCAGCTCTGTTGGTTCACATTACAGCTACCTAATGTTGGGCTTAATTTCTTTTTCTTCTTCTTCTTCACTATCATCAACCTGTTGGATGACCAGATCAGCAGACCCATCTTCTACAATCTCCACATAGGATCTATTCTCATCTTCACTCAAGTGCCATCTGGAATCCTTATCTCCATCTGATGGGGACATAAGATGTTGTTCAGCTTCCAAGTCAATGGGGAGGCTGTCTATGCCAAATTCTGCAAGACACTCATTACACAGTCTGTAGCGCCTGGTTCCCTCCTGTACCACTTGCCCTGTTAGATCTGTCACATGACGTTTACATTTTCTGCAGATGAGTTTACATGCCTGGTGAATCTGTGTAGAGATTTAAATAGTGATAAAAGTGATTTTTCAAAAGCAGGACAGTTTGATATTTTAGGTACCAGTTCATAAACTTAAGATGTTCAAAGCCATGCATTAAACTCAAATTAACATCTATTATTAGAAAAAGATCAAGGGTTTTAGTGGCAAATTGATGTCACAGAAAAACATCAGCTTTCTCTAAATAGTGGCTATCATGTTTTTTATTATTAATATTACATAATAATTTCACTTATCCCTTAATCCAATAGCATTTGGGTATCTGAGGTAACAACAGGATACTTCCTATGATAATAATAATTGCAAACACTTACATGCACCATGCACTTATTTATTTTTATTATTTATTTATTTATTTATTTTTGAGACAGCATCTTACTCTGTCGCCCAGGCTGGAGTGCAATAGCGCAATGTCAGCTTGCTACAACTTCCGCCTCCCGGGCTCAAGCAATTCTCTTACTTCTGCCTCCTGAGTAGCTGGTATTACAGGCACACGCCACCATGCCCAGCTAATTTTTGTATTTTTAGTAGAGATAGGTCATGTTGGTCAGGCTGGTCTTGAACTCCTGACCTTGTCATCCATCTGCCTCGGATGCCCACAGTGCTGGGATTACAGGCGTGAGCCACTGTGTCCAGCATACTTTTTATTTTTAAGATAGGGTCTCCCTCTGTCACCCAGGCTAGGGTGTTGTGGTGACCATAGCTCACTGCAGCCTCAACCTCCCAGGCTCAAGCAATCCTCCCATCCCAACCTACCAAGGAGCTGGGATTACAGATGCATGCCACCACACCTGGCTAATTAAAAGAAATTGGCCGGGCGCTGTGGCTCAAGCCTGTAATCCCAGCACTTTGGGAGGCCGAGACGGGCGGATCACGAGGTCAGGAGATCGAGACCATCTTGGCTAACATGGTGAAACCCAGTCTCTACTAAAAAATACAAAAACCTAGCCGGGCGAGGTGGCGGGCGTCTATAGTCCCAGCTACTCGTGAGGCTGAGGCAGGAGAATGGCGTGAACCCGGGAGGTGGAGCCTGCAGTGAGCTGAGATCCGGCCACTGCACTCCAGTCTGGGTGACAAAGCAAGACTCTGTCTCAACAAAAAAAAAAAAAAAAAAAAAAAAAATTTTTTAGAGAAAGGGTCTTGCTATGTTGTCCAGTCTGAACATATCTTAATTTGAGGTGGTGGTGGGGGTGGAATCTCTCTTGTTTTGTGTATTAATTTTTTGTTATTTTACTAGAGAAAGATAAATATTGTAAAAATTTAAATGTATCAATATTTTAGATAGAAGGAGTACTTGCCATTTTTATTAATAAAAGATCTGCTGGAGAGAGGACCACACAGGGATTGGAAGGCTTGGGGTTCTAGTCATTTACTATCTTCGTCACTTACTAACCATGTATCTTGGAGCAAGTAATTTAAAACATTATATAAACTTGCTTTAGGGTGACAGTTAAAATATTTAACTGGTAAGATATGGGCACCACCCAGACAGATGAGAAACCTGACTAATTCTACTGGACACTCGTCATAAACAACTACTATGGTGCTGGTTCTACGTATCAGCGTAGTATTATCTTTGCTTGCTTCCTGTGGCTAATGGGAATACCACTCACAGGGCTAACATGAGGACCAAATGAGTTAACGTGTAAAATGCCTTGGTAAACAGCTGTAGTTGAGGAATAATTAGGTATTATAATTAGTAATAAACAACTTTGTTCAACAGCTGTCAGAACAGTAGATTATGGGTTCTAATCTAAAAATTATAAAAATTAATTGTATAGGCCGGGCACGGTGGCTCACGCCTGTAATCGCAGCACTTTGGGAGGCCGAGGCGGGCGGGTCGCTTGAGGTCAAGAGATCGAGACCATCCTGGCTAACACGGTGAAACCCCGTCTCTACTAAAAATCAAAAAAAAAAAAAAAAAATTAGCCAGGCCTGGTGGCGGGTGCCTGTAGTACCAGCTACTCAGGAGGCTGAGGCAGGAGAATGGCGTGAACCCGGGAGGTGGAACTTGCAGTGAGCTAAGATTGCACCACTGTGCTCCAGCCTGGGCAACAGAGCAAGACTCCATCTCAAAAATAAATAAATAAATAAATAAATAAATAAAGTCAGGACAGTGTAGAAGTAGGCCACCAAACACAGTAAAAATACCCAAGAAGCTGGACACGGTGGTCCACACCTGTAATTCCAGCACTTTGGGAGGCCAAGGTGGTTGGATCACTTCAGGTCAGGAGTTTGAGACCAGCCTGGCTAACATGGTAAAACTCCATTTTTACCAAAAAAAAAATACAAAAATTAGCTGGGCATGGTGGCACACGTCTGTAATCCCAGCTATGCAGGAGGCTGAGGAAGGAGAATCACTTGAGCCTGGGAGGCGGAGGTTGCAGTAAGCTGAGATCGCGCCACTACACTCCAGCTTAGATGACAGAGTGAGACTCCATCTCAAAAAAAAAAAATCCAAGAAAGCTAATATAGCCTGGTAAAATATGTAGGAAAGCGTATGTAACTACCACTAGTACAGTTATTATCCTGTGCATAACTGTTGACATATTAATCAGTAAACACTGAAAGTACACGATTTGAATGAATCCTGATTTCTCCTGAGATAGTAATATTATGTCTACTAGATTGGGCGTGGTGACTCACACCTGTAATCCCAGCACTTTGGGAGGTGGAGGTGGGTGGATCACTTGAGGCCAGGAGTTCAAGACCAGCCTGGCCAACATGGTAAAACCCTGTCTCTACTAAAAATTAAAAAAAAAAAAAAAAGTAGCTGGGTATGGTGGTGTGTGCTTGTAATCCCAGCTACTCGGGAGGCCAAGGCAGGAGAATCTCTTGAACTTAGCAGGTGGAGGTTGTGGTGAGCTGAGATCATGCCACTGTACTCCAGCCTGGATGACAGAGCGAGACTCTGTCTCAAAAACAAAACAAAACAAAAAACTATGGGTATCAAATGTGGTATTGTTTTTGTTACAAGCTCTGATACAGATTCATGTCCATCCCTCCAAAACATATATCTTCTAACTCCATCCACTGAAATAGTGTAAAAGAAATGACACCTCCATAACAATGATTGCCCAGACTTTGAGCTCTAATTTCACTTTCCATTAAAGGAAACGGATTGAGAAATGGCTGGTTCCAGCTCTGTTGTAGGGAAAGTACAAAGTGAGTCTTGGCCTCTTTTGGAGTCAGAGAACAAGGACACTTTCAAAATTTAATGGAGTTGTGACAAAAGGAGACAAGAGCCAGTGTCAAGGTAGAGACTGTTCACTGGATAAAACTGAAAATTTGAGTATCAAAAAGAATAATAATTGTGGATCCAGACATAATAAACCAATACAAATTCCTGAGACCATCGGATATCTAAAAATATAAGACCAGCAGGTGTGGTGGCTCATGCCTGTAATCCCAGTACTTTGGGAGGCCGAGGTGGATGGATCACTCAAGGTCAGGAATTCAAGACCAGCTTGGCCAACATGGTGAAACCCCACCTCTACTAAACATACAAAAACTGGCCAGGTGCGATGGCTCAAGCCTGCAATCCCAGCACTTTGGGAGGCCGAGACAAGTGGATCACGAGGTCAGGACATCAAGACCATCCTGGCTAACACGGTGAAACTCCGTCTCTACTAAAAAATACAAAAAACTAGCCGGGCGAGGTGGCGGGCGCCTGTAGTCCCAGATACTCAGGAGGCTGAGGCAGGAGAATGGCGTAAACCCGGGAGGCGGAGCTTGCAGTGAGCCGAGATCTGGCCACTACACTCCAGACTGGGCGACAGAGCCAGATTCCGTCTCAAAAAAGAGAAAAAAAAATAAATAAATACAAAAACTAGGTGGGCACCTGTAGTCCCAACTACTTGGGAGGCTGAGGCAGGAGAATTGCTTGAATCTGGGAGGCAGAGGTTGCAGTGGGCCAAGATCACACCATTACATTCCAGCCTGGGCAACAGAGCAAGACTCTGTCTCCAAAAAAAAAAAAGAAAGAAAGCAGGTATAGTGAAGACCCTCTCTGGTTGGACAGCAGCAACTAGACTGAGATCCTTCCAGACAAGGATTCAGTAATCACTGGTAGATGCTGAGTATCTGCAGTGGTGATTCTGACCTAGACACTTAAAACATTTATACAGTTTACATTATCTTTGGCTCTGAACAGACCGGTATATAAAAACATGTTAGACTAAGTGAATTAAAATGGAAATATAAAACTATTTACCATGAAAAGAATATACCCCACTTCAAGGTCTAAAAGGACAATAAAATCAATATATATAATTATGCTTTATGTGCAAAGTAAAAACACTAAGTTGGAGAAATTTTAAATATGGTAGAGTTGTGTGAAAATATTTCCCTCAGCAAATGAGATGATCCTAAAGCCCATAAATGTACATTTTTTTTTTTTTTTTTTTTTTGAGACGGAGTCTCACGCTGTTGCCCAGGCTGGAGTGCAGTGGCGCGATCTCGGCTCACTGCAAGCTCCGCCTCCTGGGTTCACGCCATTCTCCTGCCTCAGCCTCCTGAGTAGCTAGGACTACAGGCGCCCGCCACCGCGCCCGGCTAATTTTTTGTATTTTTAGTAGAGACGGGGTTTCACTGTGGTCTCGATCTCCTGACCTTGTGATCCGCCCTCCTCGGCCTCCCAAAGTGCTGGGATTACAGGCTTGAGCCACCGCGCCCGGCCATTTTTTTTTTTTTTTTTTTTTTTTTTTTAACACAGGGTCTCACTGTGTCATCCAGGCTGGAGTGCAGTGGCTTGATCTTAGCTCACTGTAACCTCCACTTCCTGGGTTCAGGCGATTCTTGTGCCTCAGCCTCCTGAGTAGCTGGGATTACAGGTGTGAGCTACCACACCACACTAATTTTTGTATTTTTGGTGGATGGGGTTTCACCATTTTAGCCAGGCTGGTCTTGAACTGAACTGGCCTCAAGCCATCTGCCCGCCTTGGCCTCCCAAAGTGCTGGGATTACTGGTGTGAGCCACTGCGCCTGGCCAAATGTACATATTTCTTAAGAAGTAAAATGATGGGTCAGGTGTGATGGCTCACGCCTGTAACCCTACCATTTTGGGAGGCCGAGGCAGGTGGATCACTTGACCCCAGGAGTTCAAGACCAGCCTGGGCAACATGATGAAATCCCATCTCTACAAAAAATACAAAAATACAAAAATTAGCCGGGCGCGGTGGCTCAAGCCTGTAATCCCAGCACTTTGGGAGGCCGAGACGGGCGGATCACGAGGTCAGGAGATCGAGACCATCCTGGCTAACATGGTGAAACCCCGTCTCTACTAAAAAATATAAAAAATAAAAACTAGCCGGGCGAGGTGGCGGGCGCCTGTAGTCCCAGCTACTCGGGAGGCTGAGGCAGGAGAATGGCTTAAACCTGGGAGGCGGAGCTTGCAGTGAGCTGAGATCCGGCCACTGCACTCCAGCCTGGGCGACAGAGCAAGACTCCGTCTCAAAAAAAAAAAAAATACAAAAATTAGCCCGGCGTGTTGGTGCAGGCCTGTAGTCCCAGCTACTCAGGAGGCTGAGGAGGAAGGATAATTTGAGCCTGAGAAGTTGTGGCTGCAGTGAGCTGAGATGGTGCCACTGCACTCCAGCCTGGGCGATAGAGAGAGACCCTGTCTCAAACAAAACAAAACAAAACAAAACAAAACAAAACAAAACAAGGCCGAGCGTGGTGGCTCATGCCTGTAATCCCAGCACTTTTGGGAGGCGAAAGCAGGTGAATCACCTGAGGTCAGGTGTTGGAGATCAGCCAGGCCAATGTAGTGAAACCCCATCTCTACTAAAAATACAAAAATTAGCCGGGCGTGGCACACCCCTGTAATCCCAACTACTCGAGAGGCTGAGGCGGGAGAATTGCTTGAACCCGGGAGGCAGAGGTTGCAGTGAGCTGAGATTGTTGGCTGGGCAACGAGTGAAACTCCATCTCAAGAAAACAAAAACTCCATCTTAGCTAACACAGTGAAACCCTGTCCCTACTAAAAATCCAAAAAAAAAAAAAAAAAAAAAAAGAAATTAGCTGGGCGTGGTGGCAGGCACCTGTAGTCCCAGCTATTAGGGAAGCTGAGGCAGGAGAATGGCGTGAACCCAGGAGGCAGAGGTTGCAGTGAGCCGAGATCGCGCCACTACACTCTAGCTTGGGCGACAGAGCGAGACTCCATCTCAAAACAAACAAACAAACAAAGAAAACAAAAAAGAATTAGTAAAACGATGAAAAAAAAAAAATACATACTGTTCGAAAATGGCTACTTAGATGGTCTAGTCTGCTAAATCTTTTTCCGCAGGCTTGACATGGATAGGGCTTTTCTCCTGTATGACAGCGAAGGTGGCGCTTTAGGTCTGCCTTCCGCTTCACCACATGTGGGCAGTACGGGCACTTGAATCGCATCCGGGGCAGATCATCTGTCAAGAGACGCTTTGATTAAATCATTGGAAAGTTTGTGGGGAAAAGAAAGAGATCAGCCTGTTACTGTGTCTATATAGAAAGAAGTAGACATAAGAGACTCCATTTTGTTCTGTATTTGAGATGCTGTTAATCTGTGACCCTACCCCCAACCTTGTCCTTACGAGAGACATGTGCTGTGGTAACTCAAGGTTTAATGGATTTGGGGCGGGCAGGGTGTGTCTTTGTTCCTAGAAAAGCTAGGTATTGTCCAAGGTTTATCCCCATGTGATAGGATGAAACAATGTTGCTAAAAGGTTTATCTCAAGGCACAGGATTTTCCTTTAAACTTATTCATGTCACAGAGATCCTTGTTCTTATGTCTTACTGCTAATTTCCTCCCTAAAAACGATCCTATTGTCCTGCCACTCCCTTATCTTTAAGATGGTAAAGATAATTATCTATAAATACTAAGGGAACTCAGAGGCCGGTGCCGGCGTGGGTCCTCTGTAAGCTGAGCGCCGGTCCCCTGGGCCCCTGCTTTTCTTTCTCTATACTTTGTCTCTGTGTCTTATTTTTCTCAAGTCTCTCGTTCCACCTAACGAGAAACACCCACAGGTGTGGAGGGGCAGGCCACCCCTTCAAAGTTCATAATAACAATTCTAATAACAGAAAGAATCCAATCCAATCCCACTGGAAACAAGAAAAAAATAAACTTAAAAAAAATTATGAAATAAAAAGAATGCACAAAGAGTTGGTGAGCCCAAAAAATAACAGATGAAAGAAATTTTATTAAGACTAGATTGTCAATGTAATTCTAAGTATAGAACTTTAACTTCAGTATTTGATATATTTAGAAAGTTGGGTAAATTCGGCTGGGCATGGTGGCTCATGCCTGTAATCCCAGCACTATGGGAGGCCAAGGCGGGCAGATCACGAGATCAGGAGATCGAGACCATCCTGGCTAACCCAGTGAAACCCCTTCTCTGCTAAAAAATACAAAAAATTAGCCGGGCATGGTGGCAGGCGCCTGTAGTCCCACCTACTCGGGAGGCTGAGGCAGGAGAATGGTATGAACCCAGGAGGTAGAACTTGCAGTGAGCTGAGATGGCGCCACTGCACTCCAGCCTGGGCGACAGAGCGAGACTCCGTCTAAAAAAATAAATAAATAAAAAATAAAAAAAAGCAGCCGGGCGCGGTGGCTCAAGCCTGTAATCCCAGCACTTTGGGAGGCCGAGACGGGCGGATCACGAGGTCAGGAGATCGAGACCATCCTGGGTAACACAGTGAAACCCCGTCTCTACTAAAAAAAAAATACAAAAACTTAGCCAGGCGAGGTGGCAGGCGCCTGTAGTCCCAGCTACTCGGGAGGCTGAGGCAGGAGAATGGCGTGAACCCGGGAGGCGGAGCTTGCAGTGAGCTGAGATCCGGCCACTGCACTCCAGCCTGGGTGACAGAGCGAGACTCCGTCTCAAAAAAATAAATAAATAAATAAATAAAAAATAAAAATAAAAAAAAGCAAGTTGGGTAAATTCAGACTGATACAGACTGCCATGCTTTTTTTTTTTTTTTTTTGGGATGGAGTTTCACTCTCGCCCAGGCTGGAGTGCAAGACGCAATCTCTGCTCACTGCAACCTCCACCTCCTGGGTTCAAGCAATTCTCTTGCCTCAGTCTCTTGAGTAGCTGGGATTATAGACACGCACCAGAACGCCTAGCTAATTTTTGTGTTTTTAGTAGAGACAGGGTTTCACCATGTTGGTCAGGCTGGTCTCAAACTCCTGACCTCGTGATCCGCCCGCCTCTACCTCCCAAAGTACTGGGATTACAGGCGTAAGCCACTGTGCCTGGCCTGCCGTGCCTTTTTTTTTTTTTTTAATTTAATGCATTAGGGTCATTAGATTTTAAATGTAAAATAGTACTATATTTTAAAACTGTACACAATTTCAAAGTAAAAGTATTTAATATTTAAGCTTTTTTCTTGGAGGAAAATCACTTGAGGTCAGGGGCTTGAGACCAGCTTGGCCAACATGGTAAAACCCCATCTCTACCAAAAGTAAAAAAAAAAATAGCCAGGTGTGGTGGCGCATGCCTGTAATCCCAGCGTTTTGGGAGGCTGAGGTGGTAGAATCGCTTGAACCCGTGAGGTGAAAGTTGCAGTGAGCCAAGATTGTGCCACTGCACTCCAGTCTAGGCAACAGTGTGAGACCCTGTCTCAAAAAAAAAAAAAATAAATAAATAAAAAAATAAATAAATAATTATTGTTCAATTTTGGTATGACAATAGTATTGTAGTTTTTTCCTATACTATTTTAAGGACACATTCTGAACGATTTACAAGTGAAAACATATGATGTCTGAGATTGGTTTAAAAGTAATAAAGGGAGTGGGTTAGGGATAAGGATACAGACATGAGACAGGCCATGAGTTAGAGGTTGTGGGACTAGGTCATGGATGCATGGAGGTTAATTATACCATTCTCTTTTTACTTTTGTATATGTTTGAAACTTTTATAAAATAAAAATCAGGCTGGACACAGTGGCTCATTCCTGTAATCCCAGCACTCTGGGAGGCTGAGGTGGGAGGATCATTTCAGGCCAGGAGTTCAAGACCAGCCTGGGAAATATAATGAGACCCACCATCTCTACAAAATAGCAAAATAAAATAAAATAAATATGTAATTTGTATCTTACAACCTTGAGGAGTTTCATTTTAATATAATTTTCCTTTAAATTTACATGGAAACTATTAGGCAAATTTGTTAACTGATTAACTGGGGGGAAAATTGTATGATACGCATTTCTTATCCCTATTCTCTACTTCCAGAGTGAGGGAGGATTATTCTGAAACTGTCAATTTACATGATCTTTCTGCGTTTTACTATTATCATGAAAATGAGATGTCTCATGTTGCACATTGGTCCACTGTAGACTTACAGGACCAGTGTCATGGGTTGTATGTGAGGTGTTCTTTTTTGGGTGGGAGATGGGCTCTATGTTTCCTCTGCTGGTCTTTTAACTCCTGGGCTCAAGTGATGCTCTGCCTTAGCCTCCCCAGTAGCTAGGACTACAGGCATTCCTTAAAAAAAAAAAAATGATGTGTTGGGCGCAGCGGCTCATGCCTGTAATCCCAGCACTTTGGGAGGCCGAGGAGGTCAGATCACCTGAGGTCAGGAGTTCAAGACCAGCCTGGGAAACGTGCAGAAACCCCGTCTCTACTAAAAATACAAAAAATTAGCTGGGCGTGGTGGCAGACGCCTGTAATCCCAGCTATTCCGGAGGCTGAGGCAGGAGAATTGCTTGAACCCGGGAGGCAGAGGTTGCGGTGAGCCGAGATTGCGCATTGCACTCCAGCCTGGGCAACAAGAACAAAATTCCGTCTCAAAAAAAGAAGAAAAAGTATTTGTATCTTTTTTTTTTTTTTGAAATGGAATCTCCCTCTGTCACCCAGGCTGGAGTACAGTGGCGTGATCTCAGCTCACCACAACCTCCACCTCCCGGGTTCAAGCAATTTTCCTGCCTCAGCCTCCTGAGTAGCTGGTATTACAGGCGTGTGCCACGCCCAGCTTATTTATTTTGTATTTTTAGTAAAGACAGGGTTTCACCATATTGGCCAGGCTGGTCTTGAACTCCTGACTTTGTGATCTGCCTGCCTCATCCTCCCAAAGTGCTGGGATTACAGGCGTGAGCCACCACGCCCAACCTGTGTTTGTATCTTAATAAGCTAAATATTCCTCTGAGTAAATACACAGAAAAAAAAAAGACTATTTAAAAGTGAAAATATCGGCCGGGCGCGGTGGCTCAAGCCTGTAATCCCAGCACTTTGGGAGGCCGAGACGGGTGGATCACGAGGTCAGGAGATCTAGACCATCCTGGCTAACACGGTGAAACCCCGTCTCTACTAAAAAATACAAAAAACTAGCCGGGCGAGGTGGCGGGCGCCTGTAGTCCCAGCTACTCGGGAGGCTGAGGCAGGAGAATGGTCTAAACCCGGGAGGCGGAGCTTGCAATGAGCTGAGATCTGGCCACTGCACCCCAGCCTGGGCAGAGCAAGACTCTGTCTCAAAAAAAAAAAAAAAAAAAAAGTGAAAATATGTGTCTTAGAGATTGAACTATTTAGAAAAGAGCTTTAAACATTTAAGAGTAATCTAACCACCCACAGATACAGGTTTGAAAAATCATGGGTTCTGACCCTTAGTACTCTTATTATTTGGATTGTCATTATATTTATTCAATATTATTTTGAATAAATCCACGTTTTATGAAACAAATTTCTTCTTCCTTTTTTTTTGAGACACAGTCTCGTTCTATTGCCCAGGATGGAGTGCAGTGGTGCAATCCCAGCTCACTGCAACCTCTGCCTCCCAGGCTCAAGTGATTCTCCTGCCTCAGCCTCCTGAGTAGCTGAGACTACAGGTGTGCACCACTATGCCTGGCTAATTTTTTTTGTTTTTTGAGAAGGACTCCTGCTCTGTCACCCAGGCTGGAGGGCAGTGGCGCAATCTCAGCTCCCTGCAACCTCCGCCTCCTGGGTTCAGGTGATTCTCCTGCCTCAGCCTCCTGAATAGCTGGGATTACAGGCACATGCCACCATGCCCCGCTCATTTTTTTGTACTTTTAGTAGAGATGGGGTTTTGCCATGTTGACCAGGCTGGTCTTGAACTCCTGACCTCAGGTGATCTGCCCACCTCAGCCTCCCAAACTGCTGGAATCACAGGCGTGAGCCACCACGCCTGTCGTTACTAAATAAATTTCATTACAGAAATAGAACTTTTGAAAAAAATCAGTTGCTTCAACTGCTTAGAGCACCTGAAACTAAGGGTGTTTTGACAGAAGACCGATTTATATAGCACTTTGGAACCTAGAGGAGGGGACTTATGCCCTTCTTGGGTACCTGGAAAACTTTTGGATGTGACATCAGATCCTTGACCGTACTGATAGCCAACAGGAGGAGAGTCCATTTCAGCATCAATCTGTGCTTGTTCTTCAGACTGGGAAACATGGCTGGAAGAATCAGATGTTCGTGCTTCTCGTTTGCTTGACTTATAATGAGTAACTTCAGAAGGCTGTGACATTCTCAAATGTTTGGTCTTTTTAATGGACTCTTTCCTTGGTTCACGCTTGGCCAAGGGTTGTTGAGTATTCTTCTGGGAGGCTGGATGATAATTATACTTATTCCAAGATTTTCCACTTATTATACCTGCTCCTTGCTCTGGGCTTAGGTGAGAACGTGGAGAACTGCTTCCTTCTTGCCAGCCACCACTATAAAAAGAGGAACGTTCTACACCATTAGAATTGGCATCTTTATCTGAGAGACTGAAATAGCGATCTTTTTCTTTCTCACTAATGTCTAAGGAAGATTTAATAAAAGTCTTACATACACTTATGACATCAGTCATCTGAAGGAAGCTAGCAGCCGACATTACTTCTATGACATTCTGACCAGTAAGAGACAGTTTGCCAGAATATACGAAGTCCAAGATAACTGTAAAAGTGTCAGGGGAGAAAGCCTGAAATGTAGCTGTGGTTGGCTGACTTGTCTCTTTTGAATTCTGAGAAAGAAGCATTTTAAAGTAGCCGCTACTAGCAAATAATACATTTCGATGTGCTTTGAAGACCTTCCCTTCAACTAGAATACTGCAGTCACAAAATACATCTTGCCTGCGCTGCTCGTTCAGTTGCTGCAGGAGGTGAGACTGATGAGAGGAGATCTCCATTCTGAAGAGGAAAAGACACGTGTGGTTACCAAAACCTACATTACAATTATTTTATTTTGTTTTGAGACAGGATCTTGCTCTGTTGCCCAGGCTGCAGTGCAGTGGTGTGATCAAAGCTCACTGCGGCTGGGCACAGTGGCTCACTCCTGTAAGCCCAGCACTTTGGGAGGCTGAGGCGGGGGGATCACCTGAGGTCAGGAGTTCGAGGCCAGCCTGGACAACATGGTAAAACCCTGTCTCTACCAAAAATACAAAAATTAGCTGGGTGTGGTGGCGGATGCCTGTAATCCCAGCTACCTGGGAGGCTGAGGCAGACGAATTGCTTGAACCTGGGAGGCAGAGGTTGCAGTGAGCCAAGATTGCACCACTGCACTCGAGCCTGGGCCACAGAGCAAGACTCCATCTCAAAAAACAAACACCCAAAAAACAAACAAACAAAAAATGCTCACTGCAACCTTAAACTCCTGGTTTCAGTGATTCTCCTACCTCAGCCTCCAAGTAGCTGGGACTACAGGTGCGCACCACCATGCCTGGCTTTTTTTTTTTTTTTTAATAGAGATAAGGTCTCGCTATGTTACCCCAGCTGGTCTCTTAACTCCTGGACTCAAGCAATCCTCCTGCCTCAGCCTCCCAAAGTGAACAATCCTTTTCTAAGGTGAGTCAACTAAAATAATAATCAGAAGCCTCTTTTATTCCATTAAGAACTCTTTCTTGTTGGAGAATATAATTGCCAAGACACAGAAGATAATAGGTTTCAACACATCACTTAATACTAGACTGTTATCACCTGGGCACGGTGGCTTATGCCTGTAATCCCAGTACGCTGGGAGGCTGAGGCGGGCAGATCACAAGGTCAAGAGCCAAAGATCATCCTGGCCAACATGATGAAACCCCGTCTCTACTAAAAATATGAAAATTAGCTGGGCGTGGTGGTGCACACCTGTAGTCCCAGCTGTTCAGGAGGCTGAGGCAGGAGAATCGCTTGAACCTGGGAGGTGGAGGTTGCAGTGAGCTGAGGTCGCAGCACTGCACTCCAGCCTGGCAATAGAGCAAGGCTCTGTCTCAAACAAAAACAAAAACAAAAAACCAAAAAAAAAAAAAAAAAAAAAAACCTGAGACTAGTTTTTTAGAAAATTACTTGTTTTATTAGCAAAATTTATTGAGCATCTTCTTCTTCTTTCTTTATTTATTTTTTTTGAGACAGAGTCTTGCTCTGTAACCCAGGCTACAGTGCAGTGGCGCAATCTCAGCTTACTGCAACCTCCACCTCCCAGGTTCAAGCGATTATCCTGCCTCAGCCTCCCGAGTAGCTGGGATTACAGGCACCCGCCATCGCGCCCGCGATCGTGCCTGGCTAATTTTTGTATTTTTAGTAGAGATGGGGTTTCACCATCTGGCCAGGCTGGTCTTGAACTCCTAACCTCGTGGTCCACCCGCCTTGGACTCCCAAAGTGCTGGGATTACAGGTGTGAGGCACCGTGCCCAGCCTTCTTTCATTTTTTAAATATAGAGATGAGGTCTCACTATGTTGCCCAAGCTGGTCTTGAACTCCTAGGCTCAAGAGATCCTCTGGCCTCAGCATCCCAAAATACTAGGATTACAGGCATGAGCATGTTCAATAAATCAGGCCTTTTGCTATATGTTGAGCCAACACATTTGATTTTTGCCTTCATGTTGTTTTCAATCTAAAACGGTTATCAGACATTAAACAAAGACTCCAGCCCAGGGTGGTAGCTCATGCCTGTAATCCCAGCACTTTGGGAGACAGAGGCAGGAGGATAGCTTGAGCCTAGGAGTGAAAGAATAGGCTATTCAACATAGCAAGACCCTATCTCTACAAAAAAAAATATATATATATATATTTTTAATATATATTTAGCTATTTAGGAGGCTGAGGCAGGAGGATCACTTGAATCCAGGGGGTGGAGGCTGCAGTGAGCCATGATCACAACACTCACTGCACACCAGCCTGGGCCACAGAGACTCTGTCTCTGAAAAAGTTAAATTATAGGTGGCTCACACCTGTAATACCAGCACTTTGGAAGGCTGAGGCAGGTGGATCACTTGAGGTCAGGAGTTCAAGACCAGCCTGGCCAACATGCCGAAACCCCATTTCTACTTAAAAAAAAAAAAAAAAAAAAAAAAAAAGGTCGGGCATCATGGCGCACACCTGTAATCCCAGTTACTTGGGAGGCTGAGGCAGGAGAATTGCTTGAACCCAGGAAGTGAAGGTTGCAGTGAGCCGAGATTGCACCACTGCACTCCAGCCTGGGCGACAGAGTGAGATTCCATATATGTGTGTGTGTGTGTGTGTGTGTGTGTGTGTGTGTGTGTGTGTGTGTGTGTGTAGTTAAATTTAATTAAATTCAACAAAGACTTGCATGAAGTTACAATGACAAGTTAAGTGCTAAGAAAGAAAGAAGGTGCTATGAGTAGTATAAAGGGGCTATGAGTAGTATCCTAGCTTAGACTGAGATGGAGAAGGTTGGGGATACCTCTTTAGAAGTAACATTTAAACTGAGACCTCAAAGGTGAGCAGGAATTAGCCAGGTAGAGTGAGGAGAAAAATTTCTGGTTCCAGCAAAATAGTGGTGAAAACTTTTCTGCCACAAATCCCTAGAGATGCTGGATAAAATACAGCTGAAGTTTTTTAAAGGTATGGCTGAGCTTGCAAGAAAGATGTAGAAATCCCTAGACGCCAGCTAAGCGGAGGCAGCACAGCCTGAGCTGTGTGGGCCAGTAATGGCTAAGGGACTAGGTCCTTACCAGTACCAAACTCTGATCTATTAGAGCTGACAGCTGGGAAGTTAGAACCCTCTGAGGACCACAACCTTAGTGAAAAGGGACTAAAAATTCTGACTAAGTCCAATGAGAAGGTAAAGAAAGTTTGTCTTTGCAGGGCCCTGGGTAGGGAAAAAAAGGCCCTAGGTGAAATACTGAAGCCCAGTGGTTTGCCTTGTGAGATTCTGGAGGCCAGATTTACTTTACCTGCTTGGTGTGGGAAATCTCAACCAGAAAAATTAACATAGGCCGGACACAGTGGCTCATGCCTGTAATCACAGCACTTTGGGAGGCTGAGACGGGCAGATCGCTTGAGCCCGGGAGTTCGAGATCAGCCTGGGCAACATGGTAAGCTCCCCATCTCTATAAAAATAAATAAATAAAGTTTAAAAAAAGAAAAATTAACCTGAAAATTGATCCCGGGCTGGTAGTGCCTTCAGGGCACCTTGCAGAAGCAAATGTGACATTGCTCAGGAAGGGTGGGTCTCTGAACGCAAGACAGGCAGAAATAAGCTGTGCTTAAGCTGAATTCAAAATCATTCCCCTCTGTACACAAAGTGGGTAATTGCAAATATTGTACAAACATGGTATCAAGTATCTCCTATCTTAAAAACAGAGGCCGGGCGTGGTGGCTCACGCCTGTAATCCCAGCACTTTGGGAGGCCGAGGCGGGCAGATCACCTGAGGTTAGGAGTTCAAGACCAGCCTGGCCAGCATGGTGAAACCCCATCTCTACTAAAAGTACCAAAAAATCAGCCGGGCATGGTGGAGCATACCTGTAATCCCAGCTACTCAGAAGGCTGACGTAGGAGATTTGCTTGACCCTGGGCGGTGGAGGTTGTAGTGAGAAGAGATTGCGCCACTGCACTCCAGTCTGGGCAACAGAGTGAGACTGCACCTCAAACAAACAGGCCGGGCGCGGTGCCTCACACCTGTAATCCCAGCACTTTGGGAGGCTGAGGCGGGCGGATCACTTGATGTCAGGATTTCTAGACCAGCCTGACCAACATGATGAAGCCCCATCTCTACTAAAAATACAAAAATCAGCTGGGTATGGTGGTGGGCGCCTGTAATCTCAGCTACTCAGGAGGGTGAGGCAGGAGAATCGCTTGAACCTGGGAGGCAGAAGCTGCAGTGAGCCGAGATTGCGACACTGCACTCCAGCCTAGGCGACAGAGCAAGACTGTAACTCAAAAACAAACAAACAGATGTGCCAACAAAAACTTCCCCTTTGGCCTGGGTGACACGAGACTCCGTCTCAAAAACAAAAAACCAAAAAAACTTCCCCTTGATTTCACACCTACATTTTGGCTTCTATTCCATTTTTCTTTTCAACTCCCTTTACACAAAATTCATTGAAATAGTTTTGTTCTGTTTTGTTTGTATTTGCTGTCTCCCTGTCTCTCTTGAACCCATTCCAGTCAGGTTTTCATCACCATCCATCAAAACCACTATTTTTTTTTGAGTTAGAGTCTCACTCTATCACCTAGGCTAGAGTGCAGTGGCGTGATCTCGGCTTACTGCAACCTCTGCCTCCCGGGTTCAAGAGATTCTCCTGCCTCAGCCTCCTGAGTAGTTGGGATTACAGATGCGTGCTACCACACCCAGCTAATTTTTGTATTTTTGGTAGAGATGAGGTTTCACCATGTTGGCCAGGCTGGTCTCGAACTCCTGACTTCAGGTGATCTGCCTGCTTCGGCCTCCCAAAGTGCTGGGATTACAGGCGTTAGCCATCGGGACTGGCCAAAACCATCCTTTTTATGGTTATTAGTAACTTGCGTGTTGTCAAATCCAATGATCATTTCTTTGTCTTCATTTTGCCTACACAGTTGGTCATTGTCTTCATCCTAAAACACTTTTTTCACTTGACCACCAGGACACTACTCCTTCATGGCTCTCCTACCTCACCGGCTACTCCTTCTCAGTCTCCTTTGCTGGTTCTTCTCCATTTTCCTAATCTCCAAATTTTGGAATGTACAGGGTCTCAGGCCTCAAACATCTTCTCTACCTATATCGTTCCCTAGGGAGTATTTAGGATCCCATCCAGGCTCATAGTTTCAAACATCAAGCAAGCAATCAGTCCTGCACTGACACCAGCAAGTTGTCCTGTAATTCAATTCAATTCTAACACTATGTAACTGGAGAGAGCATCAGATCCCAGAGGTTGAAGGCTCAGTCCCAGAAGGCATCCCCCAACTTCTGATGCCAATTGCAGGCCCC